GAATAAAATTTTGAGATAATAAATATGTTCAGTAGATGCAATGAACTTTGATAATTGTTGAGTAATCATTCTCTTTAACTTGATGGTTGTCTCTGGTTCACTTTAACTTGATGGTTGCTCCCACTGAAAAAAAATTATGGCTCCACCCCTGCCAAAAGGTACCGAAAATTTATTTCGGGTTAAGAAATTTTCGCCCAATTAATTTTATCCAAAAAGATAGGGTTTGACCGAACTCGAACCTAGCCTGGCTGGGTCATGGCGGGCAAGTGGCGCTCGCGTGTGTTGTTAAATCGGAGGCGTGTAGGTGCTCACTCTGGTCACAAAATTGTGGTACCCCTTTGGAGCCCAATCTCATAGAGCAAACTTGACCTATATATGCCCCATGTTGAATTTCTTCCTCAATCAATGTGGGATTGGTGTCACATCCCACATTGCATTTCCTTTATTTTCACATTTCAAGAGGGTCACTTTGGAGCTTATTTTTTCATTCATTTCTTACTCGATTTGAGCAAATGAATATACTACATTATTCTTCTCACGAAATAGAATATGAACCCACGAAATTTTATTCAAAATAACAATCAGATCCCACTTTAATTTAGGCTCAAAGTCGACAAAAAATTCAATTTTTATACTTAAAAAACTGTTTTGATCCAACAATTATAACATTATTCAAAAAGTTATAAATTTTTTTATTATAAATAAAGCCAAAATTTTATATTAAAATCCATAAAAATATAGAGGTAATGTACGGATTTAGTAAGGACTATTTTTTTTTTTTTGGGTACCAATTTTCTCCCTGAATTATATATTGTCTATGTCACTCTCATTACACAGGGCTAAGGTCATTCAAACACCATATCCAAGTATAATTTTTTTTTTTCCGATCAAAAAAGTATAAATAAACAAAAAGATTAAAATGGATAAACTTAATTAATTTTTTAAATTATGGATGATTAAGTACAATTTTAAAAATAAAGGGTATTATAGACATTTAGTTAGTGGACAACAAATTCATACTCTCCCAATATTAATAGTATAGATTCACATCTAAATTATCATATTAAAATTAATTTAATTTAATTTATTTATAACTATAAACACTCAATTTTTTTGTAATATATTGTGGAGTTCATATTGATTTATTTGCCATTCTAAACTAAATGATCAATCCTGTTATAATTCAAACTTAGAGTAATTAAATTACACAAGAATGTAATTTCATCATGCAATTTAATACTTTTATCAAGAAATCTTTATTTTAAATAGTTTTTATTTTTATGACAAAAAACAGTTATTTTTTTACAATATTGAAATTGTCTCAAAATAGTCGTTGGAAAGGTATGCCTAACCAACCAAAATTGATTGGAGGCTTCCTGCAAGTTGCAAGGTCAATTACAATTTAGGTATATAGAACATCATCGCTTTGAAATCTATCAAATTATACCAAGAAAAAATTGGCAAAAATAGAAAACTTTCACGTATCTAAATAACTCCTAACACAATCTATTAACCAAAATAAAGATATGTCTAATGATATTAGCAATGACTAGTTGAGTTAGAGTTAGCTTGTGAGAGCATCTTTTACTAGTTTTGTCTAATTGAATTTGACTAATAGCTGCTGACTAACAGAAGTTGTTATATGCATCTGACGTAACAAAAGACTTAAACGAACGAATCTTTTAACATCATGCCCAAACAATCTTAAAACGACTCTTTTACCATCTGACCAATAATTACCTCTGTCATTTCGAAATTGTGAAATTCATTAATTTTATTTGATATTTTATAATTAGTTGGTGACGCAACGTAATATGGCATTACCCCCTCATATTTACTCTAGTTGGAGGTACGGACGTGAAGAAGGAGAAAATATTCATTGAAACGATTACATTAGATCAGCACTAAGGATGCTAATTGAGATAAGTTACTCAGGTTCGGCTTGAACTTGGCTCAAATATAACTCAGTTTGAGTTCGACTTAGAGGCGGAGTCAAAAAATTGTGCCAGGGTGGACACCAATATTTTAACAAATTATTATTTTTTCTTACAATTGATAGAAATAGGACAATAATTTATTTAATTATATCTTATTTAATGTTTAAAAGTTCATTAACCCACCATACCGAAATTTAATAAGCCTAGTATATACCAATGATAACATTTTTTGTTTACAAAATATTAACTAATTAAAATCATTTAGAATTGATTTCGGTAAATTTTTGTTTTTTTAAAACGTTGCATAACAACTTTATTATTCTTTAGATACATAATCATGTTATCACTTTGGTATTTATAAATTATTTGATCGATTATGCAGTTTAATGAACACTTTATAATTTTTACCATAATTAACAAAAGTAAATGTCAAAATCACAAGTAAATTAGCGAATATATATATCATGTGTTTTTAGNATTTTTACCATAATTAACAAAAGTAAATGTCAAAATCACAAGTAAATTAGCGAATATATATATCATGTGTTTTTAGTTTTAAAAAATATAAAATAATTCTAGCATATTCAAAATTTATCTATATAAGTACACAACTAACCCAAAATGTGTTAAAAAATTCATATTCATTTGATATAAATATAAACTAATTGATGTGCCAAAAAAAAAGGGAGGACATAATTAAAATTAGTCATTTGATATAAATGTACATTAATATTTTTGTCTTTGATTTTGAGTGGG